CAGAGGGCAGCCTTGTGCGACGCCCGATGCTGCGATCAGCAGGGGGCGACGTACTCCTCCCAGGTCAAGGAACGAGACGGGCAAGAAGTAGCAGGCCTTGAGCAGGCGCAGCATGTGGCCGTGGATGCCCCAGCGCTCGATGACGCTCCACATCCACTGATGGCCGAGGCTGGGGAATGCGGCTGCGATGTGCATACTGACGAAAACGGGCATGTCAGTTGATGCTGTGGGGGATAGGATGTGCCTGCGCGCAGCTGCGTCCACGGTGACTGCATTGTTCAGGAACTGGCGGCCTGATGCGAAGCCCTGCTGCTCATGCGAGGTCAGGGCGGCGAGGGGATGAAGCTGGCGGTTGGCGGCGGACGCTAGCAGCTTCACGTCGGTGTTCTTTATTTAGAGCGGCCGTAAGCAGTCTGGGGCACGCGCGCACTCTGCGTTGCCCGTGGGTTCGCCGCCTTTCGGCAACATGGCCATGAGAGAGAAGTTGAGGTCGTGCGGGATCGTATTGTTGGCGGTGGTGTCGTAGCCGACGTCACGTCGGCCAGAATGTCGAAGCTGTCGGGGGTGCGAAGCCAGGCGCGGTAGGGAAGTCCGTCGGGGCCTGGCGCAGAGTCACCTGCAAGGCGGGCGGCCTTCTTGAGATCCTGTGCGTCAGGGATGGGAAGATCAGCTCATGGGCGTCGTGGGAAAACCGAGTCGAGGTAGTTTGTGAGCAGAGTCGCGTCAACGTGCTTCTCGGCGAACACGGGGGCCCAGCGTCGCAAGATGGCCTGGCGCATGGCGGCGGGATCGGTGGCGATGTTCGACGAGCTGCCGGTGATAATCTTGATGCCCGTGAGCACGAGGCGCTTGGCGAAGGGCTTCCATAGTTCGCCCCGGTAGCCTTCTCTCTTGGCGCGTCGGCGCCACTTCTGGCCGAGTGGGGCGTTGTTGGCCGCGAAGGCAGCGCGAGACCGTGCAGATGCAATGGCTTTGCGTTCGTTGCTGAGGCTGGCGTGTGTGGGGTCGGCGGCCTCGGTGAACGTCGGCATGTCGTTTGCGCTGACAGTGTTTCCGATGACCTTCAGGTGAAGGCGTCCGATGTCGGTGCGCTCAATAAGCGAGCTCGCGAGTGGGGCGTTCTGCTACCATATAGCCCGTGCGATGCTGCGAAGAGTCATGGCGCGGGTCTCCTTGGATACGATTCCAGGCTGCGATGTCAACTCGTCTGCTGGGGGCTTGGTCAGCGTGTCGCGGGCGCGGGCGGCTGCGACCTGCATCGCGGCCTTGAGCGTGCGCCATTTTGCAATCGGGGTCATGTTGGTCATGTCTATGCTGGCAAGAATCTTGGTGGCGTGATGCTTATAGTGGGGAGTGTCGAAGATGCGCGCGGGGATGCCTCGCTCCGTGGCGACCTTGGGCTTGCGGAGGCGGATGCGGACGTGCATGATCCTGTGGTCGCTTATCGGGCCGCGGGTGTTCTCGAGCGGGGAGTCGTCAGCTATGTAGATGGTCTCCATGAGGGGCATGAGATGGCTGGGGAGGTTGATAAAGCATCGGTCGATGGTGGGTTCGCTCATGTTCCCTTCAGCTCTGTGGGTAGTTGAGGGCCATGTAATCTCGATCATATCGCGAAAAAGTGATCGCCCGAATACAGGTTGGCATTGGGACCTCTGCGCGGCGGGGGTGTCAGAATCGACGGGGGCATTTAGCGACTTCGGTGGGAATTCAGCCACGTTGAAGTCGCCCACGACCATGAAGAGGTGAAGTTGTGGTTGTTCGTCGGCGTGCTGTCGGGGCGCTTGCCACTGATCTCGAAGATAGAGTCGATCTGCTGCGGCATAGCCGCAATTGTGGATGTTGAGGACGGTGACTTCGGACTGGAGGCTGGCATCCGTGACCCGAAGCCTGGCGGCGCGGCCATGGATGGCGACCCCAAACCTGATGCGAGGGCGTAGCGCAGGGGGGGGGGTATTTGTTCGCCCTTGTCGTACGGTGCGAAAAAGCCCACGCCGCCTGCGTTGGTGACGGGGATGGCGTCGGCCATCACGGGGGAGTGGAACGGCTTGCGCGGGTGCTGGGTCGAGTTGGGCAGGAGGGATAGGTCGTCGATCGTGCCGTGCGTGACCTGGAAGGCGATTAGTGCTCTTTGACGAAGATATGGCAGGATCATGCGGCGTTTGTCTTCACGGCGTTGGTCTGATTGTCCGAGTAGAGCTTGCGCGTTCCAGAATGCCACGTTGAGGCCCTCCTGCGAGGGCTTGAGGAGCCATGGGCTCCAGCGATGGCTAAAGCCACTGCGCGGATGCGAGGGCGTCTGCGAAGTTGGAGGCGAACTCTGCGTTGATCTGCCGCTGCTTGGTTTCGTCGAAGCCGCAGGTGATGGCGGCACTAGACCACTGGATGCGGGTAGGAGCGCCAGCGTTCGCTCCGACGAGCAAGCGGGCCAAAGCTTCACCACGAGAGCTAACGCAGCCGGGAGCCCGATGAGTGCGAATGTCAGTGTCAGGCGCGGCATTCTGCATGATCTTTGATAACCGCTTGATCTGAACTTCTGTTTGAACGGCTTTCGGGCTTTGTCGGCGGAATCATAGACAGGAGCAAGAAGACCATTGCTCCGAAGTGTACTGAAAGTGCGCTATTCCTTTCCATTGCTCCGTGGAGTCGTTGAGCTCGGGGTTCGGCAACGACGGTTCCTCCGCTGACCTGGAACGAGTGGCGCTTGGCGGGGCCGACGGTGTTGAAGATGATGTGGTTCTTGTCGATGCCAGCGGCGGTGAACCAGTCAGCAAGGCTCTTCTCGAGCTCGGGTTGGTTGAACTCCTGCGGGCTGCTGCACCAAAAAGTCGTTGGGTCGGGATCGCGGTCCCACGTGCCGAGGCCGTCCAGGTTGAGGGCAGGCGCTCGTGCTTCTGCAGCTGTGACGATGGCGTCGAATCTGGCGACGGCGGCTTTGAGGTCGATATTCTCTTTCTCCAGGGAGGTGGTGCGCTGCTTGACTTCGGTGATGTTGCGTTCCGTGGCCTCGCGTCGCTGGCTGAGGTCGGCTGTGATTTTCGTGAGGCTGTCGAGGAAGTCTTGACTAGCTTTGGCTGTGACGGCTCGGGCGGTGGCTTCGAACTTGGGGCTGGCGTCGGCGATCTGGGCGGCCATGGTCTCCTCCAGCTGCTTGCGGACGTGGGCGGGAAGGCCATGCACGGCGAGTTTGTTGCCGAGTAGAGCAGCTCCTTCGTACCATGGGTCTTGTTGGCGTTTGCCGTCCACTTCTCCGAGAGCACCTTCGGTGGCGACAGGAGCTGGTACGCCTTTGCCTCCCATGCTAGCTGCTTGCGAGAGATGAGGCCCGCGCCAGCCTCTGTCGATTGCGCGTGGAGGCAGCAGCTGGCGACAACTGTGCCGAATATGAAGCTCGATCACCTGGGACGGTGGAGGGCGGGGTTATGAAAGCGGGTCCTGAGCTGTCCCTGGACCAGGAGGAAGAGGAAGACGAGGAGGAGGAGGAAAAGCAGGAGGAGGAGGAAGAGAAGTAGGAAGAGGAGGCGCCGGCGGCAGCATAGCAGGAGGGGATTGCAGAGGACACGGTCAAGACCAAGAACGCCCTCACCGCAGCGCTCGCGGAGAGCTGAGAAGCGAAGCGAAACAGCAAGTTCGTCATTCCCGGTGTTGTCGTGGCCCAGACCCGTCAGAAGAAGGCGACTAAGGTCGGGAAGCGCGAGATCTTCGGCAAATCGCCACGGAGAGTGCGAAGAGCCAAGGCAATCGTGAAGGCCTTCCCCGCGAACGCCCCCAAGGACGAGTTCTGAGAGCCCCAGTGTCGGTCCATGGCCGCCGAAACGCAGTCCGAGGGGCGCGGCCACCCGAATTGAACTGATTGGTCGTGCACGATGGGCGGCCGTTTTACTCTCGGCGGCCGAGGGCGCAACCGATGGCGCAACCTGTGAGAGGCCGTTTGATTTTCGGCGGCTGCTCTTGGCGGCCGAGAGCGCAACCTGTGGCGCAAACACGTGGCGGCCGTTTTATTCACGGCGGCCACTGGCGCAGCCCATGGCGCAAGCAATAAGAGGCCTTTCTATTCTCGGCGGCCAAACCTATGGCGCAACCACTGAGGTCGTTGCATTCTCAGCGGCCGAGAGCGCAACATATAGCGCAACCGATAGGAGGCCGTTTTACTCTAGGCGGCAGAAGGCGCAACCTGTCGCGCAACCAGTAGGAGCCCGTTTCATGTTTGGCGGCCGAAGGCGCAGCCTATAGCGCAACCAATACGAGGTTGTTCGATTCTCGGCGGCAGAGGGCGCAGCCTATGGCGCAACCGCTGCGAGGCCGTTACATGTTTGGTGGCCGCGCGCGCAACCTATGGCGCAACCAGCAGCGGCGACAACGTTCGCTACCGCAGGATTCGTTTCAGTGGACAATGCATTCAGCAGCGAGCGTGGAAGCACACTTGCACACCATGCGTTTCTGAGTGGCCAACTCTGCGTGGAGCCAGCATAGCAGTTGCATGGAAAGGGAGAGCAGGGAGTATACCAAGATTTGCCGATCCATACATCTATACCGCCGCCGGTCGGGCTTTGACCGTTGTACTTCCCCTCCTCGGTTTTCAGCGTGAAGGTCAACGCACTTCTTTTGTGGAGAGCAATCGTGCTTCGGGCTTGCGACAGCAGGCTCCCGAAAAGGAGCGATCTGCCGTCGCGACACGAGAGGAACTAAGCCCGCGTCAGCAGCTGGCTGAACGCGACTCTGCGTCCGGGGCTGCGCCCGATATGTGCTCGCCGTTTGGGCATGGTGGGGCCAAAGTGGCGAATTGTCTTGTGATTTTCTACCTCCGACCTCTTGGCATGAAAGAAACGGAGCTTGAGGGAAACGGGTGCTGGGCCCCATGGCCTTCCCCAACTCTGTATCACGAGTCGTTCTTTGACGGTCCAAAGGCCCGTGAAGGACACATGAAGCCCGAAAACGGCGAAAAAACTCAGGACACGTTTCGCTCAGGATTCCTGGATTCCCCTCCTGCATGCCGATCCAGCCTCGCCGCCGAACGAGTCCACGGAGATCTGCCGGCTGAAGATCGAAGAAGAAAAAACTGCATAAGCAGAAGCGTTCGGATCTCCGCCTGAACATCTCGGATCTGCACTGGGCTCCCCCCAAACGGCGCCTCCAGCCGCCCCTGGCGAGAGAAGCGCGCCAGGGAGGTGGGCCCAGCGCCGATCCAAGAAATCCGCACGCAGCTCCGAAAGTTCAAGGTGTGGAACTATTGCTCGGCTTGTCGCGGCGGAGGCCCCGGCGACACGCTTCAACGCCATGCCATGCGAGCGGATAGCGTGTCGCTCCTCTCCGCGGGGCGGGAGGCTTCGAAAAGCTCGGGACGGTGACGCCTGGGGACCGGGACGTGGATGGCATGTCGCGCGTAAGCGTGGAAGGCCAGAACTGGCGGAGCGACACGCTGAGCCAAAGTTCCTGGCCAGACCCAGACCTCCGATGCCTTTGAACAAAAGAAAACACACGACACCACTCCACCTACGGCCCCACGGGGCTTAGCGTATACCAGGAGATCAGACGTGCTTTTTGCATGATATGCGCAACGGCGCCCGATGGACCGTAGCGCAACATGGAGTGCCGTAGGTGGGGTGGTCTCGTTTGTTTCCTGGTCGAATCTTGATTGTTTCAACGCGGGGTCCCCGCAAATCTGCACCACTTTCCTGGGGACCGGACATCTTTTTCGTCCCGGATCGTTCTGTTCACCGCCTGGGGGCCTGGCGAGGGCCCTCTAATAGGCCGAAAACCGCAAAAAAACCTCCGTCTCGATTTTTTCGGCACGCTGGGATACGAGAGCGCCGCCCATGCGCTTGGACTCCCATGGAGGCCCCGCTCTAGCGCGGTACGGTGCATCGTGTTTTTCGGCCCTGAGCGCTGTGCACCGTACCCTTCCTGGATATTGAGGACTGACGACGCCTAGGGTCACGCCAGCGCGGTACAGTGCACGTGCGTCGTCCGCGGATGAAGGTCTGAGTATACCTTATTTATCTTCCACTACAACCAGCTCAGCTCGGCCTCAGGGTGAAGAAAGCAGGTCAGTGAAACGCGACCTGGGAACTGAGCGTTCCCGAGACGGGCGGCGAGTGCCGCACGTCTCGTGCACACGATTGCACCAGTCATCCGCAAAGTGTTACTTTGCGCAGACGAAGAAAATACGTTACAAAGGACTGGAGGTCTGAGTATGCTTGTACAGATTTCTGCTCCTCGAGAAGAGGCTGCCGCCGCCCGCGCTGCAGAGCGACTCCGCCGCGCTGGCGCCCGCGCCGGCCCCTCCCTGCGCGAGCGCGTGGTGCTCGAGAGACTGCGCCAGCGACACCAGCGGGGGCAGGCAGAACGACGGCGGCAGCGAGCCTGGCCACGGAGGGGCCATGTTAGGAGGAGGAGGGGGAGGGGGAGGAGGAGGAGGAGGAGAAGGAGGAGGAGGAGGACGAGGAGCAGGAGGACGAGGAGGAGGAGGAGGAGGAGGAGGAGGAGGGGTAGGACGAGGAGGAGGAGGAGGAGGGGGATGGGGAGGAGGAGGAGGAGGACGGGGAGGAGAAGGAGGAGGAGGAGGAGGACGAGGAGCAGGAGAGAGGAGGAGGGGTAGGACGAGGAGGAGGAGGAGGAGGAGGAGGAGGAGGAGGAGGGGGAGGAGGAGGGGGAGGAGGGGGAGGAGGATGAGGATGAGGAGGAGGAGGACCAGTGTAAACACAAGAGTCACGAACGATGTTGGAATAGACCCTCCCCCCAAGCTCCATCTTCATAGGCCCCGACAACGGTTCACTTCCACAGAGGGACCTGCCTCGTTGGAAGACAACAGATTGATGACCCTGAAACATGCCAAAACATTATTTTTGGTAGTCCAACGCCACGGATGAACCTGACTGTTGCGTCATGACGATCCTGAATCGTGCCAGAACGCCATTCCTTGGATTTTGTATCATTAATGTGCGCGACGCTAAAGTGAGAGCCACATTCTGAAAAGGAGCCGCCCTCAATCCGTGCTCTTGCAAATGTTTTGAACGAATGTACGCGGCGCTAACGCGAGAACCTCATTTTGGAAACGACCCGCCCTCAATCCGTGAAACTCTTGCACATGTTTAAAACACATGCACGCGGCGATAAGGCGAGAGCCACATTTTGAAAACGACCCGCCCTCAGTCCGTGAAACTCTTGCACATGTTTAAAACGAATGTGCGCGGCGCTAACGCGATAACCACTTTTTGAAAACAACCCGCCCTCAATCCGTGAAGCTCTTGCAATTTTTGTTGCACGAATGCGCGCGGCGCTAAGGCGAGAACCACATATTGAAAACGACCCGCCCTCAATCCGTGAAACTCCTGCCGTTTGTTAAACGTGTGTGCGCGGCGCGAAGGCGAGAGCCACATTTTTAAAACGACCCGCCCTCCATCTGTGAAGCTGGTGCAAGTGTTGAAGCTTCACGGTCAAACATTGTGGGGAAGTCTAGGGCGAAACTCCCGGCCCGCCCGAAAAACTGACCTCGAGGTGCGACAGGGAGGAGTTATCTATAAGAAGGAAGGAATGGAGGAGGAGGAGGAGGAGGAGGAGGAGGAGGAGGAGGAGGAGGAGGGAGGAGGAGGAGGAGGAGGAGGAGGAGGAGGAGGAGGAGGAGGAGGAGGAGGGCGGCGAGGAGGAGGAGGAGGAGGAGCAGGAGGAGCAGCAGGAGGAGGAGGAGGTGGAGGAGATGAGCGACGGCGGCAGGAAGCCTGGCCACGAGAAGGCCGCGGAGGGGCCACCTTAGGAGGAGGAGGGGGGGCCCGCGGGCGCACAAGCGCCTAAAAGGGGGATCTGGTGGCGCAGGCCTCCCCGCCGCGCGCCCGTCTCCTCCGCCGCCCGGCTCCTTCCGGCTCTCCTCCCTCCTCCCTCCTCTCCCCTTTTCCCCCTCCTCCCTCCTCCCTCCTCCCTCCTCTCCTCCTCCCTCCTCTCCTCTCTCCTCCCTCCTCCCTCCTCTCCCCCTTGCCCCCCCCAGACCTGTAGGCCACGGCGGCCCCGTGCAGCAGATGGCCTGGGGCCCGAGAGCCGACGCGCCCTCACGACGCGAGGAGGTCAGGGCTTCGAGAGGCCTCCTCGATGGAGTCCGAGTGGATGGGGTTGGAGGACCGAGCCGACGTCGCCGATGCATCCGGCGATGCGTCGGAGACGGCGGCGATGCATCGCTGCCGTCGGCGTGGCGCAACTCGGGCTCCGCATCGAGCCGAAATACCGATGCCATCGGCGATGCGGCGCGATCCTCCGACCCCATCTACTCGGACCCCATCTGGGAGGCCGAGAGTTCCGTTGTGCGGGGGCCCACAGGGACCAGGCTTTCGTCCCCGATCGTTTCTTGACGGCCCTGGGGCCCGGCGAGGGGTGCGATGGAGGCGTGGGGACGCGAGGCAGGGAGGCCCATCATCGAGCCGATAACTCGGATGGGCGACCGGCATGAATCGGATGGGCCGAGATCGGCAGCCCAGCCGGGAGAGGTCGAACCGGCAGAAATCGGCAGGCTGGTAGGGCCTCCGTTGGGAAATCCCACCAGCCCTGCGGGCGACAGGTGGTCTAACGAGATTCCCCTTCCCTCTTCCCGAAAAAACCCTCTTCCCCTACGGAGAGGGGTTGACCCCTCCCCTTACGCCTCCCCTGGACTTTTTCGGGCCCCCCTGCGAGGTGTCAGGACGTCCAAAACAGCCTCGGCGAGGAAGCCAAAATCACTGGTTTTACTAAGGTGTTGGCCCCATTTGGGCCCTTTCGGAGGGGGGGGCTGAAAAATTGCCCACCAGCCCTCTGGGCGCCAAAATCATTGGTTCTACTAGAAGGTTTTGGCCCCATGTTGGCCTCTTCGGGGGGGGGGGCTGAACGTTATCCCACCAGCCCTCTGGGCGCCCAAATCATTGGTTTTACTAAGGTTTTGGCCCCATTGTGGCCTCCATGGGGGGGAGTGAACGTTACCCCCGCTCCTCCTTTGATCGATGGCCTTCAAGATGGCCCCACAAGGCCTTCCAGGGCTCCCAGGAGGGCCCCATGACGGCCCAAAGAAGGCCCCAAGAGGGCCCTCAGAGGGCCCCAGAGGCCTCCAAGACGGCCAAGATGGCCTCCAAGACGGCTAAGATGGCCCCAAGATGCCTCCAAGACGGCCCAAGATGCACCCAAGACGGCCTGAGATGGCCTCCAAGACGGCCTAACACGGCCCCAAAAAAGTGTTTGACAGATGTTGGAATGTGCTTCCTTTCGGCATTCCGACTGCTCAAGACGGCCAAGAGGCCCCCAAGATCGCCCACGAGGCTTCCAATATGGCCCCATGACAGCCCAAGAGAGCCCCCAAAACGGCCCCAAGAGGGCCCAAGAGGCCTCCAAGACGGCCAACATGGCCTCCAAGACGGCTAAGATGGCCCCAAGATGCCTCTAAGACGGCCCAAAATGCACCCAAGACGGCCTGAGATGGCCTCCAAGAGGCCTCCAAGACTGCCCAAAAAGGCGTCCAGGAGGTCTTCCATGAGGGCACGAAAATGCCCAACTCATTATGATCACATGGTTTTCGACAGATTTTGGCATGTGCTTCTTCTCGGCACTCCGACGGCCCAATACGGCGCAAGAGGCCCCCCAAATCGCCCGAGAGGCCTCCAAGATGGCCCCATGATGGCCCAGAAGGTTCCCAAGACGGCCAAAGAGGCCTCCAAGACGCCCAAGATGGCCTCTAAGAACCCATGATATGCCCCAGAGGGGCCCCAACACGACGCAGACAAGACCCCAAGACGGCTCCCGACGGCGTCAGACAAGCCAGGAAAGCCCTATGACGGCCAAAGAGGCTCCCAAGAAGCCCCTAAAGGCCCCCCAAACCCTCCAAGAGGCCGCCAAGAGGCTCCCAGGAGGCTCCAAGAGTGCCCCAAAAGGCCCCCAAGAGGCGCCCAAGAGGCCTCCTCCTCCTCCTCCTCCTCCTCCTCCTCCTCCTCCTCCTCCTCCTCCTCCTCCCCTCGTCCCCACGCGACCCCAAGGGATGACCCGAAGACGCGTCCCAAGGCCACCCCCTTGCTCCCAGTGATCTCTCGGTTCATCCTGGTTGCTCGCTTTGTTTCCCTATATGTGTCCCTTCGTCCCTTTTCCCGTCGGGTCTCGTGGGCACGGCTTCTGAATGGGCTGTTGGGGATTTTTGGTTCGCGAGCGCAAACAGGGCCGCGCGCCGTCCAAAGCTACAACTGACAAGCAGGAGCCTAACTTACACACGAGAGAAAGAGAGAGAGAGAGAGAGAAGGAAATAATGACAACAATATGCAACAAGAGAACAGCGGGAGGTGAGACTAGCCGGGGCGGGCCGCGCGGCGCCCACCGAGGGGGTGCCATCGGCAGCTACCAACCGCCGGAGGTGCATGCCCAAATGGCGGGTAATTAGCTGGCAATGTGGTGCCCCGTGATTGCGGCCTGGGGCAAACCCCGCGGGAGATAGCGGAAGCCGCAAGCGCCTGCTCCTGTACGAGGGGCACCACACGGGGGGCTGAGCGCGGCAAGGGCTAATTATGCATCCCTGCAAGGGGGAGCAAGCCTTCAGGTGCGTCGAAGGCAATGTGGGCGGCGGCGGAACGAGTGAGTGGCGACGATCGAACAGCAGTTCGCGCCGTGGGACAGGCAAACTTTAAGCAGACTGAAGGCAATCAGCCGCGCGTCGAAACCAGTGAAAAGGCCAGCTAGCACGCAGGCGCTCGACGGACAGGACTCGAGATCGAAAACTGGCCGGGGTACGTTTGGCTCGCGAGCGACGCAGGCAGCTGTGCCCCGCCCAAACAGGTCGTACAGCGGAAGTCGGGCACAGCGCACTTGACGCTGACGACACGCGGGGAAAACATCAGGCGAAGCACAGAGGCACTGCGGCAGAGGCAGGAGCGAGCGAAGACAACAGAGGAAGAGGGCGAAAGCGAAGGCGCACAGGAGGAAGGAGAGCGAGGGGCGAAAAGAGACACTGCAGAGGAGACGGGCGCGCCGGAGTGCAGGCTCAAGCGACGACGGGGACGAAGCTCCTTGCCGAAGAGCCGGGACTTGAAGTACAGGGCAGTTTTTAATAAATAGGGCTTTTATTAAGATGCATGGTTTTAATACATGATTAATGCATGAATGAATTTATGCATGGACACATCGTTGTTTTAAATGCTGAAGCCCTGCATTTTAGATACATGATCCGCACGCGGAGCATGTATCAAAAACGGCACTGCGCTGGGGCGGGTAGCGAAATAGCCATTGACGCAAACCATAGCGCAAGCGACGTCCAATCCAGCAGGCCGTCTCCACGGCCATAGGGTAATCCGCATGGTAAACGACATCCAGGAGCCACCAGGGGTATGGGCACGCCCCAAGTGCGACGAGGAGAAGGGCCGCAACTGGTG